GGTTTCTGAAACATACACTGAGGGAGGGAGGGAGTAATATTACATATTCATGTAATATTCTACCTTGGAGCAATCTCGGTACTACTTAATTTCAATCAGTATAACTTTTCTATTCTTCAGCAACAAGGAGAACAAGGATGTAAGTTCAACTAGAGAGATCTAGTTCCATTCTTAAATTTCTAACATGAATAGATAATCTAATGAAACACTCTTAAAGCTGGGTTGTTTCTAAGTAAAAAGATATGGTCATCTGTAATGGCTGAAGTTGGTATAGTGATAGTGTTGCTCATGCCAGACAGAACCACAGTATAAATATGGAGAATATTAATCACAGTCTCAATATTGGGAAAGAAAAAGTCAAAGCCCTTTCCAGAATAGGGAAGGAGAAAAATGTTAAAGAATTAAAGCCTCCACCCCAGTTCAAATCCTATAAAAGACAATGCTTCTAATGAACTGAGCTGAAGCTTGCAAAACTGTATCCTTTTAACAAAAGTGGTTAGTTGGAGGAAGTACTGCTAGATTCTCCCTGATTGTTTGTCATAGTAAACTCACACAGTTCTTCTTCAAAACATGGGCACTCTTACATAAAGGGCTTGATTACTGTGTTTTATAGTAGGCAGATTTTTGGCACATCTTTTGTCTCGAATAAAGCAAATTATCTAGATATATTGGAAATTTCTCTTTTTATATGCTCTTGAACGTCAGCCTCATTTTAACAGCTGTGCCTGGTCTGAAGTCTGACAAAATCAGTCACCCTCACACAAATCTGCCTTGGAACATTAAGCAAATAAATAGTTGTTTGTTCAAAATGCTGCATACTGACATTAAACAACCCCTGAATTATTTCACAACAAAGTAATTCCCACACTAGAATTTCACTCCTTAACAAATGTGGACAGTGATACAATACAGAAAAACAAATTAGTCTTCACACGCAATATTTTAGATTTCATTTTAAAGTGTGATTCTCATTAGAGATATGAAATGACTAAAGATGCTTTGGATTCACTGTGGGCACCCTCGTATTTGTTAGCAGCTCCTGTAAGGAATCTTGCCCTTTTCTGGGATTGCACAGTTGCTATATGGAATCAAGAAAATATATATTTGAGTTACAGAGGTGTTGAGGAGGTGGCAATGTTTGATTGCATCCTATCAACATATCCATAACACCACCTGAACTCAAAATATTTTTCTAAATCCTGTAACTACAGTGTCAACCCAGGAAAAGGTGTGGCTCCTTTAAGGAATTTTCCAGTGAGGGTAGGGTGCCGGTGCAAGTTCTGAAACACCTTGCCTGTTTTGGATCTGGCTATTACACAGCTTTAATTACTTTATCTATTATCTTAAGGGAACAAATAACATCAACTACTTTAAGTATACTAAATTGCAGTAGATGAATCTTTGAATTTTCATTACCAATCCTAAATTGCATTGGCAATACAAAACAAAGTATATAACATTTGGTTTCTCCAAAGAAGTGTCCAAATGATAGCAACCTAAGGTAGCTAAGAATACCTAAAATAAAATATAAACTGCCAGCACCAAAATATATTGAAAAAATAATAATTGTATGTAATAGGCAGGCAGGAAATGCAAAGCGCACAGTCTTGCTAAAGATGCAGTTTCTATTAATTGATTTTTTTATTAAGAAAAAAATAAAAATCATCTCCTTGGTTGATCGGTTAGGTTAAGTGATAAATACCAGTCAACACATCTTATCTACTTTTGTGGCTTTGCGATGAAAGCGCAAGTAGACCAGAACATTTGAAATGTTTAAGTTTATTCTGCACAGAATAAACATTTTTGTTCCTGTCATTCCAAATTAAGCAGATTTGTTACGCGTTTGAAAGAAATCACATTGTTCTGGAAAAAGAAGTAACAATATGTAATAGTATTTTTTTCTAAACTGCTTCTTTACATGTTTAAGGTACTGATCTAGAAAAACTCTGTTTTAAATTTACTTGAATAAACTTGAAATTACTTAAATAAACTTGAATTGAATTTAAATTAAGATGATATACATTGTTTTAAACAAATGTAAGACCATTTATTATATTATTTACAAATTATAGAACTGTTTAAATAGACATTTATTTAAAGTATGTTATTAAGATATTGATGTACTGCCAAATCCACAAAGACTCTGTGGATTTACAACATCCCATATAAAACCAAATATATAAAATAAATCAATTATGAAAACATTCATTAACACTGATATCTGCAATCCAACAATCTTAGACATTAAAATGCTATGGAAAAGTTCCATCTTAAATGTCTTGTTGAAGACAAAGTTCATGCCATCTGATTTTCCAGATGGAGGTTAATTAGCAATAGCAATAGCAATAGCAGTTAGACTTATATACC